TATGTATATATATATATTAAATTATTTTCATTTATTTTTTTACTATATTTTATTATTATATATATATATATTTCTTTAATATTTTACTTATAAATCTAATATTACTATATATAATTATTACTTTACTATTTTTTGTCTTATCTTACTTACTTATTTTATTTATTTTATTTTTTCCCTTGTATCTTATTTGTTTTCTTTACCTTGTTTATCTAACACATTTCTCGATTTTTTTAAAGGATATTTTCAAATCAATCAAGGGTAAGTAATTAGGATCGAAACTTTACCTTTTAATTTAACTTGTTATTTTTCTTAATTAAGACAACTGGAAATTACGTAGTACCGAAAGGGCGGTTCAAGGGTGCTAATCCTTTCTTAACCGTAACCGACTCCCGAGCCCGAGATATTTCTGGTAAGACGCAGATCAGGTAAGAAATAGGGTATCCGATCAACCCATTTATTTTTAAATAAATGATCGGTGGCGACTCCAATCCACATTTTTCTAAGTCGAAGCCCAATCCCGGGCACAACCGAAAGACGATTGCGACACCCTCATTAAAAAACCTCCCTAATTCTAAATGGAGGAAAAAGAGTGAACCAAGAGGTGGAAGGGAACAAATACAAGGACAAACATATACATCCAGCATGGCATACCCCAAACTACAAGAACACTCACACAAACACCTATACACTCCAATTAGCATATAGAAATAAGAACTGATTAGACTACCGAACCTGAACTAAAAACGAAACAAACATCGAAATGAAGTGTCCGAACCATAGCGAGACCCAGATACACCAAACCTGAAAAAACACTACATAACACCAAGGCTTCATCGATCTTCAACAAGCACGCAAAAACAGCGAAACATTCCTTAACACTAAAGATATCTAACACTAAAAACATAAAAAAAGTTTTTCATCGAGTACTTGTGTATGCAAAAAATCTTTGTTAAGTGATTTAGTCACTAAAGCCAGATATCTAGTGTAAATTTAACAAGAGTATAAGTTACTATGTTGCTTTCTCGAGGTGTCTATTGAATTAACATCGCTCAACATTTTTATCGTATATTATAGATTGTCCAAACTAGTAAACATGAGTTTGTAGCACCATAATCGTCAATAAAACATGTTGTCAACTCAATGATTTGTGTGCTTTTATGTTTTACCAATATGCCATTATTTATTTTGAATGATTAGATTTATTAAATTAAGTTAAAATTAGAATCAAATATGTAATTAAAAATTTCCTTAACTAATACATTAATATTTCTGTTAACATTCAATAATAAATGATTTAATTGATATTATATAAATAATTAAATTATCTTATTGATAAAGTTCACAAGACAATTAAAATAAACAATCTTATAATTTAGTAAATATCTGAAATAGTTTATCAAAAAAAATCTATTAACATTCATTATTATCATCGTTATCTCCGCAAAGATCTTTGGCCATTTCTAATCTATAACATTATGTTTGCAATATGTGAAGAGAATACCATGAGAATATAGTTAATGGGTAATTTTACTGTATGGGAGCATTGCATTATTGTCTTATCTATGTTGTCGTTTCTTTCCAAAACCTGGTGGGGAGTCCCTTCACAGGAACTGGAAATGGCCTATACTCAATCCCACTCTGCAAAATCCAATAATTCGACGATGGACATAGTATTAAATATTAAGAGATAAATTTATAAAATTTAATGATAGGCAAACAAATTACTAATAAAAAACATAAAAAAACATGTAAATTATAGAGAATTTCAAGTTTTCAAGAGGTGAACACGTCCATCAAATCTCTCAGTGCAACACTAAATAAGTCCTCTTCTAACACTAAAGATATATACAATTCGATTTGTCATCGTCTTTTTTTCCCATCATTTTCATGAATTTAGTGACCTTATTTGCACTTTGATTTTCAAACAACATACCTGAAGTTGGAAACCAAGTGGTGTGCCACTATGAGCATCTCCAACTTCGCAAGCTCGTTTCCAGGGCAGGCATGCACTCCACTGCCGAATGGCATGAACGTGTTGGGTTTTGGGACAACCTGCAACAAACAATGAGAATAACTAATCTGATGTACTGCAACCAGAAGAAACAACTTTAAGTGTCTGTTCATACCTCGAACCTCGATGGATCGAATTCCCGGGGATCGGCGAAGAACTCGGGATTGTGATGAATGTTTCTGAACAGAGGCATCACTTTCCAACCTTTCGGAATAAGGTAAACTTTGTATTCCACATCAGCAACTGCTTCTCTAAAAGTGAAGGATATGATGCTTGCCATTCTCAGTGTCTCTAGTACAACCTTGTGAGTAATTGGCATGTTCCTTGTGTGACCAACTCAACTGCTGATCGGTTTCTTCGATCAATCTCTCAATTGACTTGTGTTCAGCCTACAAACACAGGCCTCACTCATTAGTTTCAATCACAAAGACAATCAATGTAGAGTTGAGTATTTGATCAAGTCGAATCAATGAAGGTATAAAACTAGAGTCATTTTTCGAATCGAATCAAATTTTGCTTAATCGAGAGTTCCAGCAGTACCTTGACTGCTTCCAGAAGTTTGGGATTGTCATGGAGGTACTTGACAATCCATGTCATAACACTAGCCGTGGTGTCCTGAGCGGCGAAAAAAGTTCTAATGATGTTATCGGCCATTTGATCATCGGTCAAGACTTCACCTTTTTCATCCTTGAAATTCAATAGACAGCCGACCCCACCAGATCCCTTTCGAGCAACTTTTTCTCCTTCGTTTCACTTATGATATCACTCAATATCTTGCTTAGCCTCTTCCTTGCCTGCAGGGAGTTATTTTTTATTACAGGAAATACGAAAGAATTCGAGGAGTCAACAAATATGGGGTTGCTAATTACCTGTAATGCCTTTCTGTATGGAGTTCCAGGGATGTTTATAGGGAAGGAATTGTAGCCATTGTCGACCATGAAGTAATTCTCCTTCAGCTCCTCTCTATATCGAGCTTCGAGACGGCCAAAAATCATAAGCATACCGACATCGAAAGAAATCTGCAATTATTTGCAGACAGATAACATTGTTAGAGTTGGCAGTTAGAATTAGTTGTTATAATTCTGGTAGAATTAGTTTAGCTGTTATGGATTTGTTAGAATGAGTTTCTCCTTGTATATATACGTTTGTACAGAGGCTTAATAATATGTGTGGTGGAAATTTCTTTAAAGAATATTTTGACAAACATGAACACAACTTTTCAACATTGATTAATGCCAATCATTTGTTTGACGACGGCATTGAACCGAACAGACCTTTTTCATTTCATGAAAGGTGTTAACGACATGCCCCCCATGCCAAGAATCCATGGCCGAGGCTACTACGGCATCGATATCCGGCACCATGTTCCGATTAGCCTCGATAGACAATGAGGCCTGAACCAGCTTCCAGAGACGAGTGTGGTGTTCTCCTTGGTGAAAAAACAACGCCGCTGGACCAATAAGACGCTCCATGCTGCTGGGGTACGTCGGCTTCAACAACTGAGCTTTTGTTACCAACACAAACCGAGCAGCCTCGGGGCTAGCCAATAAGACGGAAGGGCAGCCTAGTAAATGCCTTTTGAAAATCTCTCCATGCCTGAACCACCGCCATGTAATTAAGCACAGAAAACAAAGAAAAGAAGCAGCAAAACGAAGAGATTTTTGAAAACCTTTTCTCTCTAGAAGAAAAGAACACATTGGGATCTTGAGAATAGAGCTGGAGAGTTTCTCCTATAGAAGGCCACCCCATTGATCCAGGAGGAAGCTCGGTTTCAGCTTTTCCTTCTGGTTTTTTCTTTTGCCTTCTTAATAATCTATACAAGACTACTAGAATTACAAGGAAGATGGGTGCATATGCAAGACTTGCAGCCATTTTTTACAGACGCAAGATTATGTTCCTGGGGATTTGTGACTTATATAGGCAAGAGGATGAAGACAAGAACGTATGTCATTCAATGGTTCGTCCTTCTATACATGGTAAGATAAAGATGTTCATAGAAAAACCACCTAAAACCATTGGACATAATTTTACAGAGTTTTCACTAGGTATAACTGTATAACAGTATAAGTTAGAACAAAATTCCTCTAGGCTCTACCCATTTCGATACGTGGAAGAGGAATTGTATTTTAACTGAACATGGCCGTCATCATAATTTTAAGCCTCTCCTTTTCTCTAAATTCAATCCTTCATCTCCTTTGTGCATTGAGTACTTTTACTCTAAGATCATGAAGAAGCGCGTCTCCTTTTGATGGACAGATGTAGAGGATCCTTAACCATTTTTTTCAATGATATCATAATATGTGTAATTATATATTAGAAAACACTTCGAGTATTATTTCCTACATTGTGTTTAATCATAGAATTTAAACTTTTAGAAAAAATGATTAACTTTAAGGAATTTTTTAAATTTAGGATGGATATTTGATTTGAATTTTATATCTTTTGATATAATATGATTGGGTTGTATTTACTTTTATTTTTTTTAAATAATTACAATAATTCCCCTCCAAAAGATATGATTAATTTAGATTCAAATTTAAGGTAAAAATATTTCATCAACCTAAGATGATATTATAATTATCACCTATATTTTCATAGTTAATTACAAAAGTTTTTCTCTATATTATTATTTTTAATTAGTTTTTTATTTACCCTAATATATATATATATATCAAATTAGGTGAGATATAAAACTTTACCATAAAAGTAGAATGGATCGGATTGAATCAAATATAATTTTTTGATTGAGTTTGTGTTGGCAAAAAATTCAACCCGATCATGCATATTTTTTTTACCATCAGGCCTTTAATTAAATTATAAATTTCAGCAAAAAGAACTTTTTTTCTACTTTCTTAGCTGAAATAAAATTTCAATAAAGGAGATTTAATATTATAAAAGGCCCAAATTTCTAAACGACGACGTTTAGGCACTTCGGAAGACTACTAATAAAAAACCCTTGACTTGGATTGTTTGGCAGTGTCATCCAGTCTCTCAGAAAATCAACAGCTCCATTTCTTCATAAACAAACATGCAAGAAAAGAAGGCAGAAACGGGAAATAAAAATGCGAAAAAGACGAATCTCTTAGATCACAGCTCCATCAAGCATCTCCTCGATGAATCCGTCTCCGAGGTAAAAAGAAAATTGAAAAATAAAACGAATCAAAACAACCCTAGATCCTTTCATTTTCACAATTACAGTTCAATTTCTGAGTTATTATTTCTCTCTCTTTATTTTAAATAGATTGTTAAGAGTCGTGGATATGTTGAAGATGTGAGGATGAGCAATGGCAGATTATTGATTGGAACTATGACTATTGTAATCGCTCTTGTTGCTCAATTTTACAAAAAGAAGTTCCCCGAAAACCGTGATTTCCTCATCGGTTGCATCGTATTATATCCTTTTTCGTCACTGTTGTAATTTCTAGATTAATTGTTATTTAGAAATGTTTTAAAATTTGGATTGAATTTCTTTATATATATATGAAAGCGTGTTGATAAACTGGATAGAATCTAAATTAGGATCTATTTGAATTTCTTTATATATATATATGAAAGCGTGTTGATAAACTGGATAGAATCTAAATTAGGATCTATTTGACTGTTAATTTTGGCTATTTAATAGAAACAAGTAGTTATATGGTCGTGTTTTATAAATATAATACAAATCTAAGCATAATTATTTTTATGAAAGTGAAATTAGGATTTAGATACTTTATTATTAAAAAATAAATAATTTTCAAATTTTGATTATGTAAAAATATGCAGCTTTTGTTACCAATTGGGCTTTTTGTTTTTTACTTCTAGATGTAAAACTGAGCATTGAAAGCAGCAACTAGACTGAGTGTTAGATAACTAAATATATTTTATTTTTGTGTGCCATATGATCATATGAAAACTTTGTTTATGAACTAAATTCTGTTGAAATTCCCATCTATTTGTTACTTTTTAAATGATTAAGAGGAAAAACTCTTGTCCTTCATCTGACCTTGCTTCAACATTTGGCTTCTTTGTTACTTGTGAAGAGAGGCCAAAACAATGATAATATTTTTTTTCTTAGTTTCTAAAGCTTAAACCGGAACACAATTGATTGGAATGTATCTACTACTATCAACTAGATGGTGTTAGCGTAGTTTCTGCCTTTCCCCTGATTTTTTTTGGCAAATAAAGAAATGTAATCTTTTATGGTACTTTCATGTTTCTTTGATCCTTGACTCTGGCAAATATATAGTCTTCAATGGAGTACTCCAGCTGATCATATACACAAAGGAAAAGAATGCCATTCTCTTTACATATCCTCCTGCTGTAAGTTCTCATGCATTATAATTAAATGTTTCCTTATATGTTGTGCGACGTGTTGATTACTTTTTCTTTAAGCGGAGTTTATGTTCATGTATGATAAGTTTGGACATCGCTCTTTGCATGTTTAAGCCTGTGATGTTGAAATTTCCGCAATATATGCATGGCTACTGATTCATGATATCACCATCAAACTCTTCTCTTTTATATTAGTATGAATGCATGATGGCACATTTTAATACACATTCATTGTCATCTAGCACACTGTCCAAGTTTCCATTAGAATGTTGAAAAAGCATTTGCAACGTAAATAAGATTGAAGGAAAAGGAGTTTTCTACATCTAAGTGCTGATTTATTGTTTTCAGGGATCTGTCACTAGCACTGGTTTGGTTGTCTCTTCAAAGTTGCCTAGATTCTCTGATCTTTATACCCTTACCATAGCCAGTGCGGATCCCAAGTCCATATCTGCAGGGAAACCAGTCGAGTTGACCAAAAGTGTTACCCAATGGTAGCTCACTACCCCCTTATTTGGCTCTCTCCTATCCCATTCGCACACCTTCCATCCATTTGCATTTCTAACCTGTAAAAATATTGCAGGTTTACCAAGGACGGAGTATTAGTGGAGGGACTATTCTGGAAAGATGTTGAAACACTAATAAATGAGTATGCAGCAGAACCAAAGAAAAAGAAGTGATCTTAGATAACTAGATGCTAAGCCTTAATCTGATAGGTTCACCAGAATTATTGGTCTTGCTTTTGAGGATTTTAAACTAAATGAACTTTGCCCGAGGATTAGAAGGCAATTTTCATCATTTAACGAACAATGGGTTCCTGTTAATGAAAAAAGAATTAGCATCTTTAGTTTTATTAAATTTTGTGGCTTAGTTGGCTATGGCTTATATAATAACTGATGATAATTTCCATGTAGCTTTCATCTATCTTAATATTCCTAGCTTAATTGGTGCTAGGACCAGCTTTGCATTTCAAATTGCGGATTGTCGCTTCCCTTGGTTTCCAGCCTGTATGTCGGGTTAGCTCTTTCCCATTGCCATGTTTCCTACGGCATTATTTATTGATTTGCTTGCCTTATTGGTTGTGCTATATATTTTTCTTTGGTCAAATTTTGGTTTTGGTCACTTTACCATGATTAAATTGGTTTATTTATATCTCAGGCCATAATTGTGTTTGTGTTGATTTATACTTGTATAACTTGCCAAGTTTATAAATTAGTTTATAAACCGAGTCTTAATTCAGTTAGCATATGATTACTATTGTAATCTAAGAAATGATGATGGTTCGTGTGCATTTAAATGTGAATTATCTTTCAATCTAAAAATGGGTAAATTACGTGTTTATTGTCTAAACTATCAGTTTTGGTCTATTTTAGTATCTAAGCTTCAAATTTTTTAAAATTATACCTGACATTTAATTTTTGTTTCATTTTAGTATCTAGTTAAAAACTTAAAGTTAAGTTTTGAAAAAAAAATTGAAAGTTTAGTTACTAAAATGGATCAAAACTGATAGTTTAGGTACTAAACACATTAAATTTTTAAAGATGTGTATTAAAATGAAACAAATACTAAATAGTAGGTATGATTTTGAAAAAAATAAAAAATTTAGGTACTAAAATAGATTAAAATTGATAGTTTAAATGCTAAATGTATAGTTTACCCTTCAAAAATTTAGGGATATGATTGTTTAAGCATTATATAAAAAAATAATTCAATTTTCCTAGTCCAGCAAATGTCTGTAGATCTCCTGCTTCTGGTGCAGTGTACTTTGCAAAGTGAACTCAACATCGGCCGACTGTGTCAGTGTGGTAGTACATTACGGGTTTCCGCATGGGTCAGTGCGTCCACTCATGGCTAGCAAGCCGTAACGATTGAGCTGAAACGAAAACAAAGAAGGGAAGACTTTTGACTTCCAAAGCAATAAAAAGTTTAAATTGGATAGTTAGCCTGCAAAATCACTAATATATGCAATCGTCAAAACCTACAGAAAACAAGCTCATACAGTTCTTATGTCTTGATCAGTGTTGGGCTTGGCTATGTTTCAACTCTGGCTGATGGTTTGATCATGTCGGCCACGGCTTTGTCTCTAGAGATGGAAGCAGAAGCTCTCCTCCGTACTGGTTGGTGGAGTTGGTTTAGCAACGACACTACAAAACGTTGCGAATGGTCAAGTATATCATGCAATGAAGCTGGAAGCGTCAACCGCATTGATCATAATTATCTATGTGGCAAACAAGCTTAGGTGAAATCTGAGAAATTGAATTTCTCTTGCTTCCCGAACCTTGTTCATCTTGATCTTTCTTGGTGTAAGATTAATTGAAGAACGCCTTCTCAAATAGGTGATTTGTCATCACTCGAGTACCTCGATCTTTCTCACAATTATCTAACAGGTGAGTTACCTCAATCCCTTGCAAAACTTGCTCGTTTGAAACACCTCAACCTTATAACTCTTTTGAGGGTTCTATCCCCCTAGATTGGGGAAACTTGAAGAGTTTGATGTCCCTACAAATGCTGAGCTGCAACATTAGTGGTCCCATCCCTTATACTTTGGGTAATCTAACCAATTTGAAACGGTTGGACCTATCCCGTAACCTTTTCAGTGGGACAATTCCTCCTACTTTGGGTGGCTTAATCAATTTGGAAATTTTGAGTTTTACTTCTAACCAAATCATAGATTTGACCCCGTCATCAATAACTAATTTATCAGGATTGAGCCAATTGTATCTCAATTCAAATCTTCTACAAGGTCCAATACCTTGTGAAATTGGAAATGTGAAGAATTTGTCTAAATTGAATATAAGTAAAAACAAGCTCAGTGGTTTGATTCCTTCATCACTATCTAATTTATTTAGATTGAATCGATTGTACCTTGACTCCAATCTTTTAGAAGGTACCTTGCCACAAGAAATGGGGAATCTGAAAGCTTTAAGGCACCTTGACCTCTCCAATAACAAGTTGATTGGACCTATTCCATCTCGAACTGGGGATTGTAGGACTTTTCAAGAGCTGTCTTTGAGTAACAATCATATTAATGGAAGCATACCCTTTGAGATCTTCGGCTGTGCTCGTACTCTTAATCTAAGCCATAATTTCATCAGAGGACAAATACCGCTACAGCATGGTATCTGGACTTACTGGCATGTTTTGGATTTTAGCCACAATAATATAACAGGTATGATTCCTGAATCTTTGTGGTCTATGGATAAGGTCGATCTATCATATAATTCCCTGGAGGATCCTATTCCGAATCACATGAATAATTCATTTGGGCCTGACTCGTTTTGGGGCAACAAGCATTTATGTGGAAATGTCACAGGCTTCCCTCAATGCTTCCCTTCTTCCATTTCAAATACATCAACAAGCAGCATACTGAAAATCATTGTTCCGGTTGTCGGCGTTCTAGCCATTTTTTCTGTAGGATTTTTATTCTGGCACAAATATAGAGCCAAAAACAACACCCTTGAGCCAAATGTCACAAAAAATGGAGATTTATTCTCCATCTAGAACTTTGATGGAAGAATTGCATTCGAGGACATCATTGAGGCGACAAATGTCTTTGATATTTGATTTTGTATCGGCACCGGCAGTTATGGTAGTGTTTATAGAGCACAGTTAAGGAGTGGAAAGATGTTGCCTTAAAGAAACTTCACCGAAGAGAAGCAGAGGTCCCAGCTTTTGTTAGGAGTTTAAAAAACGAGGCGAAAATGTTATCTGAGGTATGACACAAGAACATCGTGAAACTTCATGGATTTTGTCTCCACAATCACTGCATGTTTCTGATCTATGAATACATGCCCCGAGGGAGCTTGTTTTCTGTTTTCATAGACGATGCGGAAGCAGTGGAGATGGATTGGATCAAAAGAGTAAATGTAATCAAAGATATAGTGGACGCTTTATCTTAGCTGCATCATGATTGCCTCCCACCGATTGTTCATCGAGACATATCGAGCAACAATATTTTATTGAACTCAAATTTTGAGGTTCATGTCTCGGATTTCGGCACCGCTAGACTCCTCGATCATGATTCATCCAATCGAACAATGCTTGTTGGTACATACGGATATGTTGCACCATGTAAAGTTTCCATGCTTTGTGTTTACTTGTTTTTTTCTCTTATTTTAACTGTCTTATCAAGCGTTGAAGTTCTTGCGAATGCAGAGCTTGCTTATATCATGGTTATGGATGTAATTGAAAAGTGTGATGTGTATAGCTTTGGAGTATTGGCACTTGAAACACTAATGGGAAAGGATCCTGGTGAACTCTTGGCATCACTCTCAACATTATCTTCCAATAATATAATGTTGAGTGATATATTAGATCCACGCCTATCACTTCCGAGCGATCAAAGAGTGGCAAAGGATATTGTATTTGCTTCAACAATTGCCTTTGCTTGCTTAAGGTCGAACCCAAAGTTCCGGCCAACGATGAAGCGTATGTCTCAATAGTTTCTTTCTCAGAAAAGAGCGGTAGCCGATCGTCTCCAAGTTATCTCTGTGTTGCAACTCAAGAACCATGACCTGTATATGGATAATGAAGGCAAAATTCAGTCTAAGAATGCAGTCCAAGATGGTGAAATTCATGGCATTTCTTCAACTTAATTCCCATGTCTCTTCATTTCTTTTGTTTTATTTCGAAGTCAGATGTTTGTTAGTTGTGAAACTTTAATTTTTGAATACTGCAACCTGTCCTTGTTCTTGCAAATCTGAAGTCTAAAAGGTTACAATTGGGACATCATATATCAAAAAGTTACAATCGAATCTGATACATGCATCGCAAGACTCACATCAAAATAAAATAGATTAACGCTTTTAAATAATCCACACGAAAAAACATTGGAAAACAAGAATAGCAGAGCAGCAGACTTACAACTGCTTTTTGAATGGGATCCTGATGTTATTTGGTCAACATGTCATCTGGTGTTACGATCTGTTGTCTCTTAGCTTTCCAACGGTTCTTGAATTGCATCAACGATATCGGGAACTCAAAATATGTTCATTTTACTTAAGACAACGCATGCGGAAAATCATATACATGGTTAATGCGAGGTTTTGTAAATATTATAAATTTTCAATATTTTTATTGATTATTTATAATATAATTTAATATAGGATGATGCATTATCTTTTAGAATTATATTTATTATTTTATTAGGAATTAAGATAGAGTTAAAATAATTATTTTTAATCTATTGTTATTAGGAATTAGGATAGTATTGTTATTGTTATTATTATTATTATTATTATTTTCAAGTATTAGTCATAGTATAATAAGGACTCCTTCACCCCATATAAAGAAGGTTCATTGAGTTCTTTTCAAATTATTGAGAGAGAGATTTTCACACTCTGACTTATCTTTTCATTGCGATTAGGAGGGTTGATTAGAGTCGTATTATCAAGTTTATCTTTTCATTACGATTAAAAGGGTTTTATAGAACATTTATCCATCTATCTTCTCTTCCATATATCCATTATTCATTTTCCTCCATTATTACCGCCCACCTCCATTAGTTAAGTTTAATATTTTCATTACATATCTCTCTTTTATTTTTATCTATTTTTATATTTATTTTATCCATTTTTATTATCCTTATTTTTCATTGTCTTAATATTTATTTCTTTGTCTCAATTTCCAGCAACCCTAATCCAAATACCTACATTCTTTACTGTCGCCCATAACTTTTCATTCTTTCCCACTCGTTCTTTGATCGAGTCTAAAATTATCTAGGTTTGATTCTTCAACGACAAGCAATATTCATCATCCGTTTTCGCATCTTTATCAAACCACTCAATTAACAATGTAATAATCACGTCACTATCCGTTTACTTTTTGTTACAAGTGATGGTGGTTGGAGTCATT